TTGTCATTTTAGTGTTATATTTAACATTGCCATTAAAGCGGGAGGTTTGGCTAGCCACAAAACCAGGTTCAACCCACCATTTTTCTTTAAATGTCCTGTACCAAGTCAGGAAAATGGCTATTGTTATCTTATAGTTCGTTTCTGTGTGTGTTTCATTTTAGTGTTTCTGTTGTGTCTTTGTTCTCTTATATTTGATGTGTTTCCCTCAGTTTTAGTTTGTAACCCGGATTTGTTTTTTCTCTATCGATTTATGAATTTCGAACAGCGGTATACTACTGTTGCCCTTATTTACATCGGATAATAACTGTATTGCATTTTTTGATTGGCTTTCATTTAACTTTGTTTAATAATTGCAAATATTTGTATCGCTACCCGTCGATATGTAATCTAAATCACCGACAGTTCAACCATCGAAACTGTAGTTTGACGTATTCTAAGTCTAAAATGCAAGACAATTATCTTAGAAATTAATAATCCGACTTGCTTAAATATCATAGATATTTGAATTTCAGTTTTTTTATCGACAAAATCGTTTGGGACATGAATCTTATGTCAATTGCTTTGTTTTTTTTTTTGGATTTGGTATATAAAATATAATTCAAATTTCTATATAATAAAAGATGAATGTATTGATGTGACAATAAAAAATACATTTGTTTAGAACCTGGTCTTGGACAACTTTTCATTTAGATTGTCCATCGTCATCCGAAGTGTTGTTTCTATAGAAAAATTATTGGAAAAACTTCGTAATTAGAGCATTCAGTATATTTGTAAGTGCTGAAAACATGTAAGTTCAGGTAAATTCAGAAAAAAGCCATATTGTACATGTAGACTTAGACGTCTGAATGGATAAACCGTTTGAGAAAATTATTACATTTTCAGCTATCTGTTCTCCACCGTGTATGAATGGAGGAACGTGTTCTCTTCCAAATCGATGTAGATGTGCAACTGGATACAAAGGCGATATTTGTGGCGGAGGTAATTAATTTATTATTGTGTTCAAAACCAGAATTTTATAGAAGCATTCGTAAACATATGGTTATTGTTTTATCAATTGAACACCAGAAATGTCAGTGAGTATGGTCGAACTCTCAACTTTAGTCTTGACAAACTAGTGATCACTTTACACCACTTGACATCGAGGCTCCTGGAAACTTTGTAGCTTTTGATTATTTCTCTTTCAAAAGAAAACACCACAGAAATGAACTGCAGTTTTAGAGCTGATCTAATGGAATGCAGTCTTTTGCTTGACATTTGTGTAGCAATTTATTTGTCAGAAATGATGGAAATTACATTTAGCATTAATGTTTTAACATTTGTTATTTGGGTACGTGTTTAGAAAACGATAATGTTTTGTAGAAATTTGATATACAATATAGCATTGTTGAAATTTTAAAGTACACACAGGTTTGCTTCTGTAAATTTTAGTGAAGATTGAGAGACATTCAACAATTTATTTCAGTATGGCTGTAGTGTAAAACAAGTTCAGAGAAAATTGCTATATTTCTATGTAAAATGTAGTCAAGAAATGACATGACCTTGGATTTTTGAAAATTGAATAGAACATATGAGCATAATTAATACAATGTAATACATTTTCACGTTTTAATCGTTCATAATAAAGATAATTTATTTTCTACAGTATCAGCATGTTCACACCTCAGACCTTGCTATCCCGGGAAATGTTACGGAAATACCTGTAAATGCTCATATGGATTTGGAGGGAATAGCTGCTTAACTTGTAAATATGATAACATTGAAAAAAACATTATCTTCTGTTGAATAATGTTTTTATATACAGAGATACACATTGCAAGCTGCAAATTTGACAGATAAACTATAGACATATTGTTCTAGTTTAGTTTATAGACTTAAGGTTATATATTCGTTACATGCAATCATTAACCAAAAGATGCCATATCGTACTTTGGACATTTAACGTTAATGTCATTATTTTAACATGTCAGACACTGCTAGAAACCAGTAAATTTTGTTTAATACAATGCAATAAAATATATGTTGTACCATTCGCACACTTATTATTTAAAACAAATTACGATCGAAAAGTAGGCATATGTGCTACATTTTGCCTTTTGTTCTGTTGTGTTATCAGTATTATATTTATTCAAACAGTGCAAAGCCAAACATTTTTGCCAACTGTAGAAAAGATCAATACCACCTTTACCTATCATAGAGCATCGGTAAATAGAGATGAATACAATTTCAAGTGTGATGCCACTCACATGACAGAGCCTGACATAACATGGACAAACCAAGGAAAGTTCAATAGGCTAGAATTTTATTTGAAAGCCTCATTAGACGACACATATGTATTTTCCCGTAACCCAAGACCTCTTCCAAGTTACATCAGCACAGTACAATTTGGGATTGTTTCTGTCACTGCATCTGTTATCCACATGAAACTGAACAATAAAGGTGAGACATGCTAATCTACATGTTAAGGATAAGCAAAACAACATTCAACAGGTGATAGTATTCTCAAAGATCCCTGCCTCCATGTCTATCATTCAAGAATTCATTTTCAAAAACTATACTTTATTTTGTTTAAATCTTTAATTCGCAACAATCATGAAAGCGATACAGGATTTTATTTAGCATATATATGTTCTAAGGCGATAACTGAGGCAAGTTGAATTTACATCTGTATTAGTTTACATTGTTATACATAACTATTTTATTTCATTTATCTTACCTGTATTCGTTGTTTAGACCGGTATATATTTTGGATTTTAACTTTCTATTTTGTTAAATTGTGTGCTTTAACTTGAAAGTTATGTATCTGAGATATTATGTATTATTTCCAGGTGGTTATTACGAAGCCAAAAGGGACACACTGACATGTCCAAATCTTTCTAATACAAATCCGAATACCAATATATCCTGTTATTTGAACACTAGCTATATTATACAGTTTGACTCCGGTGACAGGTAAAAGGACATTTTACATATTAACAACAATCCAGCATCGTTTCTACTATAATAGTATTAAAATAATTCCGTCTTTTAAAATTACGTAATCGCTACGCATGTAGACATTGAGGCAAGTCAGAAACAAAATGCAAAAAACCTGTTTCTTAAAATGAGTTCATCCCATAATAGATTATAGTTATTTGTGTCCATATATGATATTTATATTTTTTGTAGATATTCATCGAATTAATTCACGCATTTACATTATATTTAACCTTCCGTATTTGAGTCATTGATGGTTTTTAAACCAATCAAAATAATTTACAGTACATTCCATGAAGGTATGCTTATCATTCGACAGCGCTCATATCAATCTTTCTAATCTCGATTATGTATTTGAGAAAAAAAAAATAGTATCAGATTTATCAAGACGTCTCAACCAGTTACATTTCAATTTACAAATACAGCGACAAAAGATACATTAATATATCGGAACTTTAAAAATCTGCTTATACGAAATTAAAAACAAAAATGAATTTAAACTCGTTCATGCACTGAAGGAAAACTCAAGTTGTAGATTATGACTTATAATTAAGATGATTTTCGAAAACAAAGGAGTATGATCTTAATTAATGTATATATGTTATACATGTTATAAATCCCCGAATTGTTGGAAATCAAAAGGAATGTATCTGATAAAGGAGATGAAAATAATATCAAATCTATAGCGTCTTTTCAGTTGTTGGCCAACACAATTTGCTAGGTTTCTAATGTGTGACTCGTTTGTGTAAGTAATTTAACTATTTCGATATGCAATTCGAATTTAAGCCATGTTTCACTGTACCACTAGTGGAACAGGATCTTTTTATATTTCTTGAGAACCTTAGATCTTCCTACTTTTTGGTGGGGTTCGTGGTGCTCAGTCTTTTATTTTGTATGTAGAGTGTTATATACTTGTTTGTATTTTCGTTTTTTAAATGTCGTGATCGTTACGCTTGTAGACATTGAGGCAAGTCAGAAACAAAATGCCAAAGACCTGTTTCTTAAAATACGTCCATCTCATAATAGATTAGTCAAAACACGTTCATCTCATAATAGATTTGTCATTAAGTTTTTGTTTTTATTGCGTTGTCAGTTTCTCGATTTATGAGTTTAGACCATCCCGTTATTATCTTCTGCATTAAGTTTTTGCTATACAAAGAATGCAAGAAGAAGACACATGCAGATTATTCTATATAATTTCCTTAAATTGCATATGCTCATATGTTTAAACTCTTACCAAACATACAGAAGACGTTTGTTATCAGTTTGGTATTTATAATGTATGAATAAAATCTTTTGGTGTGTTTATCATTCATTATAAAAAAGCTGGTTGTTACTTTTATCTCTTTTGAAATGATGTATGTTAATCTATTTGTATATAATAAATACAATTGTTTCTTTTAGGTACATGGTACGTTTTTCATTAAGTACTGGTGGATATAGAAATCTCAAAAATGGTCAACGTCACTATAGTCAAAATACCTACAGTACCATTCAGACAGAAAACTCGATGGAACTACATTTTGATTACGGAGACCCAATTCACTGTATTGAAGATTCGAGCTGCATTTCGGGAGAAGTTCCATTCCTTTTACGTCACGATGTTACAAATGTAAATAGTTGTACTATATTTATCTATATTGATTAATACATTCTGTTACAGTATTCAATACTATTATGCTGAAACTTCTACTTTGAGATCGTTGTTAGAACAAATTTCAGTTGACTAAACGATTTAAATATTGTTGTGCACCAAGGCTATTATCGTAAAATATAATTTTTAAGTATTTCTCTGAACATTTTCTTGTGTCATCTTTGGATTAATTGTTTTTCAAGGTTTCGAATACATTGTAATGTCGTCTTTAAAATTCGCTATATAGACCAACATCTGTAAGAGATTAACTAGACATTGTAATTTATGGCATTCATATTGTACTACTTTTTTTTAGGTTGCTCTTAAACCTCAATGGAGTGGTTGGAAAGATAAGTTGTCAGGAATCCTTAGATATGTTTTTGAAGTTTGGAAAATGGAGTATAGTTACGACAATAAAGGATTAAGGGAACCTCTCATCAATAGGACATTTAATCCAGTACCTTTGTTCATACAGGAAGTGAATGCCAGCGACATTATCTCCTTTCCGACCTATGCACCTGATGGCCCTGGTGTGTACTCCGTCATACTTGAAGTAAATGACAAAGCAAACAATTCTAAATATTCAAGACAAGTAGCAATATATGATAGAACATCTAACATATCAACTAGCTCTATTCATCTGATAGATGTTACAACCGCTTCCAAATTGACAAATTTTACATGGCAAACAAGTCAGTTTTCGAAAATTGATGTTTCATGGTCAGGCCATTTCATGAATGAAGTACACGAAAAGGGACATTTTCTGGAAAAAATACTTGACTACGTTCCACGCTTGAGTGATGGAAAGTTTGGAAGGCGTCATGACTACAAGAAAATACTTCCTAGTTTTGATGATAATGACGGTGTTAGAAACAGATCGTTCATACCAAATATCAAATCCATTATTCGTTTTGATACCGTTGGTAGACAAGGTATTCCTATGTCGACTTTTCCAAAGACAGCTTGGCAAGATGTTACACCTTTAAATGACAATAAAAGTTTCCCACTTATGGACATTCGTGATGGCGATTCTTATCAAATTTGGATTCGTGCACATGATATTATGGGTAATAGTAAAGTTGATTATACTGCTGTACATTTTGACAGGAGTCCACCTTCTGTTTCTAAAGTAAAAATAGAGTATAACATTGATGATGGAGCATACCCATTCTCAAGCAGGTATGAACTTAAAGTTATGAATGATTTATAAACAGTATTAAGTTGTCGTTATAATACGTTAGCTCAAACAAACAACATGGAAACTTAATGTACGTATACACCAAAAAATGGATTAAGATAATTTTATGAACACATTGTAGCCAAAAATATCTCGGACACAGCTTACGATATGATAAAGCTCCATTTTTTATAATGGAGTGAGACATTTACATCGTGTTTTCAAAATACTGGGTTCCGGAAGTGAACCACGATGAAATCAATGAGCCTAATAATGATGAAGACCCGGATGATCACATTCCACTGTATGAGGTATGAATGGTACGATAAAAAATAAGATGGGCAGGGGAAAGGAAAACTCGCAATATACAATTCGAACAATGCAAGGATTCGGACACGAGTTCAAAGTAAAAAAGGAGCTTTCCAACAGCTGACGAGCGGAAACTTTTATTACGGGTTAATTTCACAAACAAGACTTTGTAAAACAATAGGTGTAGAATATATGTTTAGAAACGAACGATTTCTCTAATTTTAAATGCCAATAAAAAACATCAATGAAGACACTATCGTGCGAAGTCAAATGATAAGAAGAAGGGAACACAGGGTCATGTCAAAATAGTTGTCATAGTCGCATAGCCGACTGGTTTATACGGGTTTTATCGTATATCTTTGGTATTATATGCATAAGTATTTCTTATATCATAATCATATTTGCTTGAAACTTAAATCATGGAAACAATTTGCCCTATCTCTTTCGATTGAAATTGAGTACACACTCTCCCTGTATATATACATCATCGTCTCTAGCTACAATGACTGCTGTTCCTAAGTATGATATAAAAAACAACTGAATACACTTTAGCTTATTGCAAGTCAACTTCTTAAATCTTCTGTCAGACCTCATTACAGAACACTAAAAAAATCATATTTGTGTAATACTAATATTTTGGTATTATCTTTCACGGCGAACTGTTAAGTCCATGTCGCAAACATAATTCTACAGAGATGAAGATATTGATGGGACAATTGTAAATTAAATCCCTTAACATGAGGAATAAAGCATCTTCCCTTAATAACTAAATGCATTTAATGTGTCTCCTTGATAGAGTACGTGTTGCTGCAAAAGATGAACACAGTGGGACCAGAAAAATATCTTTCAGATTTCTTGTGAATGGAACTCTTGAAGAAAAGGCAAAATCAGATTTTCTTATTGAAGCACAGGTAATTTCTTTTCTTATACTTAAAAAGTTACATTTTCAATTTCATTTTTAATCATGATATCCTACACATTTCTGTGGTATTTCGCTTAAATAATGTGAAAATATACCTGCATGAACTTTCAGTTAATTGTTGAAATCTACATATGTAACTGTTTTGTTCGACTTGCATGATTCAACATTCATTAAGTAATTTTGTTAATTAAAAGCTATTGGATTTTGTAAGAAACAAACAAGTTACATTTCCACTCTAATTTTTTGATATCATAGACAATCTTGCTTTTTTCCCCGCATGAATACTGAAAACATATAAATGCATGACAATTCCCTAAAGCGTTGATATTTACGTATTTACATATATAACTTTTTCGACATGCATGCTACAATACTCCCTTAGATATTTTGTTAAAGGTATTCGATTATAAAAAGGAAAACAAATCTTGTGGTCACTTTATATTTAATTATCAATATGCCATTACGATATATAGTCTTTGCCTCACACAATTGTATGCTTAGTCAGTAAAATGTGTCCGGGTAGGGTGACATGTTTTCCTGCTATATGTTACCTTGTAAAATAAAGCTAGCACGTTCAGAGTTGATATTCATGTAGTATTAACATGTTCCGTCCTGAATTTGCATTTAATTTGCCGTTGGACTCATCATCATCATCATCATCATCATCATCATCATCATCATCATCATCATCATCATCATCATCATCATCATCATCATCATCATATTAGCTGCTTATATTTGTATGCCTAGACTAACAGTTTTTTCCAACGCCAGTGAGTGTGGTATTTATATAAGAAGCAAATTTAAAATATACTACCATTGTTTTTCTTTAGGTGAAATGGCATCCTAATGTTATATTAAAAAATAGCAAATAGAATTTAACTCAATAGAAAGGTGTTTCTTTATAACAACATAACTGTGTCAAAATGTATAATATATTATAATACCAACTTGAAATTGCAGTCTAAGACACTTTTATCGCACGAAAATAATGATTTTGTTATTTAAATTTTCACAACAAATCTTCAATTTTCAGTCCAATGAAAAATGCAAACTCATTCCAAGTGATTGTTACTGCGTTAAAATGGGTGAATGTTTCCTGGAAGACACAGTTTTGGATATTAACAACTGCTGGTTAAAGGTTCCAATAAACCAAGTAGCCAACTTTGTCCTTTTGTTGGAAATTACTGTGTACAATTCAGCAATGTTATCGTCTAAAAGATATGAAACAGTAAGTATAGTGTTTAGTTAATTTTATTTGATATAAAAATAGATTTTGATTTCTGGCAGTTCCAGACATGGAATTCCACTGCACTATATCTGTGAAACAAAACTTTTCTTTATATCATTTTGCAAATAATTATGCTGTCTAATATAAAAAAAAATCATCACTAGTAAATAGATTTTGAAATGAAAACAAACAACATATAAATCGAACAGACCTGAAGGAAACCTTTTAGTACTTATCCGATTACGTAAGAGTAGATAAAGCTCCTCTCGAAAATTCATAGTTGCGTTAAAAATTTTTAAAGTCATTTAACATTATAGTATAGCAAGTTCTGAAAATAAAATTGAAACATCAATTCGTGACCTCTTTTTTCGCTGTACTATTGCCGTCGCCTACTATAGTAGAGTCCCACAGCTATGCCCCATACTACTGTTTTTGATAGCAATTGACGACAATGTTTTTTTTACAGTTGTTTTCATACTCATGATGATACTGTTAGCTACAAGTACATGTACTATAAAGCTGTTTATTACGTTTCGTGTACGCTTCAAATTCAAACATTATCTCATTATGACATTACTTTTAATCATGATTCCTTAAATTTATGCATTTACTCTTATTAAGATTGGAATGGTTAAACACCTGCAAGGGATACAACAATGTAAGTTGATAACAACAGCAACGCAAAATTGACTTCAATATGCATATATAATGTATGTTCTAAATTTTAACCTTAAATCATATAGTTTATAGAACAAAAAAAGAGGCAGATATTATTACATATTCAAAAACTCATGTCGAAAAGAAACTTGCATCGACATTGTAAAAAAAAGACGACAAAAAGACAAACAAGTACACAAGGAAAACAAAGACAACTATAGAAACAATTGAAACGAAACAGTTGAAGAGCTATATGACCAAAAAGGACCTGAAAATAGTAGCCAAATTCATCATAGGTCAACTTTGTCTGAGGAAGATGTAACCTTATAAACTGAGCTACACGAGCTATAAAAAATTAGGATAATTTGAGCTAGTGTTTCGAAAGGATAGGCCGGTCCTGCCCCACTAGTGGCACCCGTCATATTTTTCATGGTATTTAGAAATTCGTTGATAAGACTTATGCATTTGGTGAAATCAAAATAGCAGAAAAGAGAACAGGATTGTGGCTTTGACAATTGGAACATACCCATGGTCATCTGTGACACCTATATTCCATAACAGTCAACCAACTTGTGATGGCGTTTATATATCTTGTTAATGGATGACTTCAACTATGCTATTTGGAACCGGTTGTCCAAAAGCATCCTTTTTTGTAGCAACCTTTAATCAATCAAATGATAATGTGAAAAGCAAGGTCTTGAATATCGTATCAACTGAATATCTTCTCTATATGTACGATCGGCATTAATGTTGTTACAAACAAATGGAAAGTTTATCATTGAAGACCCATTGGTGGCCTTCGGCTGTTGTCTGCTCTATGGTCGGGTTGTTGTCTCTTTGACACATTCCCCATTTCCATTCTCGGTTTTATCATTGTAAACTTGAAATCATCCATTTCGGCGAAACGTTATTTGTTCTGATCATCTGACCTCAATATCAATTGTTAGATTCAATTCAAGATATGAGACAGACTTAACTGTATGTGTAGTATCCTTCATTGAAGTTTGATGGCAGAATATGTTAGATTCCCAGTGATGCAGTTCATTTTGGTATTTACTGTTAAAGACAATCTTTGTTTTGCATAACATTACGTCCATCTATATAAACATCCCTCATGGATACGGTATCACATACTGAAATGTTATAAATATGTGTTCAGAATAAACTCATAATCGATACAAGGCACGCGCGTTTCTTCTACGAAAGACTCATCAGTGACGCACGAATAAAAAAAGTAGAACATATAAAAAGTAAAGTTTGAAGTTGAAGAGCATTGAGGATCCAAAATTCAGAAAAATTTATCCATCTTCAGCGTAAATAAACTTGAGTAAACACAGATGTTGGCAGAGTGAACTTTTGTCAATTACTGTTCTAAGTTGTCTTAAGCCGGGGTCACACATTCACGTTTTTACTGTGGTCATTGATAAAATTATTCCCTATTAAAATTTGTCAAAAATCTGATCAAGATCCTGTGAATCGTTGCTTGAAATTCAAACTTTAATTAAAAATTGTAAAAACATTTATTTAATCACGACAAAAATCGGATATTGTTCAGGAAGCGTCCAAATCCAGCCGTTTCCAGCCGAATTTGTCCCAATAATCCCGTTCTCAATCCGATTCTAATCCGATTTGTATCTTTCGCATTGTAAAAAACTACCGAATCTGTCCCGACAGCGTCCCAATTCTGCCGAAAGCTTTCCGACAGAGATCAGACAGTGACCAGACAGTGAACCGACGCTGACGGAAGATATCCATTAGAAAACCGTTTCACGTGGTAGTCCCGGCCTATAAAAAAATCGGCATATTCGGGATGATCAGGCACTGTCGAAACGCAATCTTATCACAGCCTGCTGTAGCGCATTTCAAACAGCTTTGTCTGTACTCAGTCGTATCGTGTTCAGTAATTTTCGGGACTCTGACGTGGTTATTATTGCCGAATTTCGTTTTAATAACAGGACTGTTCCGAAACAAAGACGGTTCGCATTCGGCAAGATCTGGATACAATCTGGACTCAATCGGTAAAAAAAACATCAATGATAAATTTCTCGTGATCATGCCCGTTCTACAGGGCACCGTCTAGAAAACACATATCATTGTTACGATTTTGTTCCAATACAGCAGAATCTGTCACGACATAGTCATAATTGTAATCCGACTAGACAAAATCGGCTGAGTTTCCCCGAATGCTACGGGATGCACCTAACTGTCGGTGGTGCTTGACCAAACCTTTTCGGACCATTCCTGATCCGTGGGAATCTGTTACGAATGTACACGACTGCGTTCAGACAATGATAGGACATTCCAGATCATTGAGGTTAGTAATCCGACTTTTTCACTTTGCGTGTCTTAGTGCTGTCTGATCTCAAACGGGAGCCATGATCGACACTGTGTATTGGTATAGGACGAAGCCTACATTGCTATTTAACTAACCTAGATATAGTGTTCCCCATTGAATGTGAAGTATATATCTGTGCATATTATATGAATGAAATTTAGCTTGAAACGACAGCAACACATTATTATCTTCATTAACGCATTTTTTTTAATGTCTCATTGTGTTGGCTTAAATTGTTTGTATCAATTAATATTGTAGACAATTGCATTACCGTCACGTTTATTTTGGTGCTATTGAAATATTTTACTTTCAGATAATCCATAGATTTTAAAATGTTCAGATTTAATAATATCAGTAAGTAAAAAGCCGGCGTATGGTTTAAAACTCGAATCAACGAGTTCGAGACTGGATTGAATGCATGCGACATTTTTGATTATAGAATTGGGGATTTACTAAGAAGAAAATTAAACATTTTAGTATTCATTATCACTTTTCTCCGCAAAAATCGTTCTTGAGTAATAAACTTGTGAACTTTCAAAAATCAAAATTCTCATTTTGAAAAATAAAAAAAAAAAAAAAAAAAAGGTAGTGTATGTTTGTAATTTGCAGAATAGTTCACCTTTACTAAACCTTATCCGATTTAGATTGATGTGCTCAGCTATCTTTAAACTTAAATCAAATGCACTACCACTCACCAAAGTCATCATTACAATCCTGACGTTTTTAGTAGAGAGATATTTCTCATTGTCATATAATTGTCATTGTAGACTACAGTCCATCAAATATTACTGTTGTAAGAAAAACTTCATCAAGCATCAGCATTAAGTGGATTCAAGCAAAAACTTGTTATGAACGAGCCGGAATAGTCATCATCTTATACACACCTGACAATACTACGAAGGAGTTCCTAGTCGACAAAGATGCTACAACCTTTGACCTTACAGGATTATTATCTTTGACATCATATTGGTTTCTTATGTCTACAAAGTATGGAAATGACACGCATTTTGTCAGCAGTGCAAGTCCTGCAATGTTTTCATTTGTAACACAGAAAAAAGCCGATACAGGTAATATAACTTATTTTGATGAATATTAAATCCTATGTATGTATAAACATGATTTCAATGTGCTTCGAAGAACTTCAGAAAAAAGGACGTTTAGTTTTTATAAATTAATGTCTCCGCATAAAATATGTATTGTATGCTTGTTATCGTTAAATTATGTATGTATTTCTATGATTTACATGCACTCATATTTCATGTGTCAAATTCATTATAAGTATATATAGACGCTTGCATATGAAATACCAAAATCAAGCACACTGCATTCATCTAGTTATCGCCAAACTGTATTCTTACCTGTAAGCTCTTTATATTCATATTCCATATTCAGACGCCGTATCCCGCGGATGGTTTTCGCAATTAGCTTTATATTAGTAGGCTGGTTTTTGTATTTAAGGTTTGATTCTGATATTGATATTTATAACAGATCTAAATAGTTTAGTTTCGATGTATATATCTCCCAATTGATACGATATTCCCGGGCTTGTATTTCCTATCATGATTTCCTTGATAGAGGATTGCTGCTCACAAGGAAGCTTTTAAACCAAGAGTTCCAAATGGTGAAGTTGAAATCATCCCTTCGTAAATTTTACGGACGCCATCACGAGTTGGTTGACCGTTATGGAATAACCGTTTCACAGATGATATCGGATATGTTCCTTATGTCGTTACTACAATACCCTTCCATTTTCACGAATGTGACCTACCGAATTAGACTATTTACCTGATTTGTAATAACAGAAGCAACACGACGGGTGCCACATGTGGAGCAGAATCTGCCTACGCTTCCGGAGCACCTGCGACCACCCCCAGTTTTTGGTGGGGTTCGTGTTGCTTAGTCTTTAGTTTTCTATGTTGTGTCATCTGTACTTTCATTTGTCTGTTTGTCTTTTTATTTTTGGCCATGGCGTTGTCAGTTTGTTTTCGATCTATGAGTTTGATTGTCCCTCAGGTATCTTTCGTCCCTCTTTAATATTTATACCATTTATAACTATATATTTCGTTTGGTAATGATTAAAATTTCTAAAGCCATATGGTAAATACAACCATTTTTTAAAATTCAATCGATCTTTTCCATGAGATGAAATTGAATGCTTTAAAAGTTATTTATTTTCAAAAAGTTTCGACTGATATATATATATATATAAATATACAAAAACTTAAATTAATTTATATCATTTGCAGACAAAAGTTTCTCAAAATACGGAGTCGCAGGAATAGCAGCAGGTATGTTTGAATTAATGTATTCAGAAACACTCCTTTGTTCCAAATGTGTATGAGTTAATATTATCATATTCATCGGTATACAATACAAACTGTACCATACCATACCACCTATACCAGATATAGTACAATAGAATGTGTATGTATTTTGTTATCACTACGCTTCACAATGAAAAAGCTCGAGATCACAAGTTTTGGACGCTTAACGTATGAAATTGTGGACAGCACAATGAACCAAAAAGAAACAAAAGGACCTGAATCAAACCTGTTCAAGGGAAAATTTCCCTGATGGACTCGCAACTTCAGCTCATGATAATGGAACATTTGTAATGAACTGGGATTTAAATCTAAAGACACCACGTGTCAATTCAACGTCACAATACCAGCAGCACTGACAGCGAATCGTAACACCGAAAGTATATGTTGACGTATACCAACACATAACAATCTCTTGGCATCCTAACAAAACACTACTCGAAAATAGCTAATGAGGTTTATGGTCGTCTTATAAAGCTGATGAACCGTTCCATAGTCCCTGTGCCTAAAGCAAAATATAAACTATGTCATTGATCTAAAATGTCCCTTTCTGTCTATTCATCTTTATCTTTGCCTTTTTGTGTTTTTTGTCGTTATACTGATAACTAAGATTTAAAATAAAGTTCGTATGCAAACTGCTTATCCGTGAAAAATTTTTTTTTTTAACTTTGAATATTACACATGCATGATAGTCTTGCGTGGTTGATTGACATAGGATCATATAGGTTAAGATTAAATATGAAAACATTTGATGGTAGCTTCTTTAGTTCGGATACATTTGAGTCAAAAGCTCAAACTCGTCAAACGAATGGTAAACAACTGTCATATTCCTGGCTTGGTACAGGCATTTCCGGATGTTGTATTGCTGCTCTGTGTTCGATTATTTTATAATTTTATAATTTTGAATTAAAGATGATTCAAGATGTCACTCGTCGTGATATAGCATTTGTTTAACAAAATTATGTCATTTGTAGATTTCCATTTAATTGACATGATTATTTTCATTCTGGTAGCTGTTGTTTATAACTTAATTTGTCTATTTACAACAGGATTTACAGTGGTACTGATAGTTGTCATTATTGTGTTGGTATTCCTTGGAAGGACTGGACGGTTACAACCAGCCAAACAACGTATCACAGCTGGATTACGTACAGTCAGAAATACAATTAGAGTTCGGGCTACTTCAAATGTAAATAATGTAAGCATAATTTGGGTATTAAGCGAAAGATTCCACTATTAAAATAATCAGAAATTATTTTCAAACATCTACAAACACAGCTTTGTGAATGCCGATTAATAAAAATATCATTTCACATCATCTTTAATACAAAAAAAACCCAATCAAATCATGTTCTAATTTATTCTCCATACACACACGATGTCACTTAACCGAGACTAAAACAATCACCGTCATATATAAATTAACCTATCATTGCACTTAGCGTTTTAAGTAGTGATGAAGTGTCGTTCGTAAAAGGACGACCATGTCAAGGCTCAATCATAAATCATAAGTTGAAAAAAAGGAAAGACAATTCCGTGCCAAAAAGTAAACCGACAAAAAGACAAACAACAGTGTACAAAAACTCGCAAACTGTACAAAATCCTATAAGTCACCGATGATATTAATGTCTTCCATAGGGAGGGAGCTCCTGTTCAACTATTTGCAACTGTCGTATTGATCATTCATGGTAAGTTGTAGTTCGATGGTCAGTATAATAAAGCAGATTTATTAAAACAAAACAATTAATCAGTATGTATTTCGACATTAAATTTTTTGAAAACACCGCTTATAGTTTTATACATTCATGCTTTCTTGTTGATATGACACGAGAAAACTATCAACCAAAGACCAAAGAACATAATAGCACCGTTCTGCATACAACAACGAGCTTACATTTTAGGATTTAACTACTACTCCAAAACACCTGATTTTATCTCTGGTTTAGTATATGTTACTGTTTTTTATTCATTTAGGCTTAATATGTCGAATGTTCCAATGTGATCATTTTACTTTGTTTTTCTACAAAACAGTCTCAGAATCGGGAAAATGTTTCAAAGGAAGACGACGATATCTATTTCTATGGTGGAATGGAGATGATAGAAAACAATATGAAAATATCTCGCAAAAGTATATCTCTGGAATCTGAATTGGCTCGTGGAAGATTTGCTGTAATTTTCCGTGCGAAGTATTACACTAAAAGCGAATGTCATGATGTTGTTGCAAAGACATTAAAAGGTTTTTTTTTCAATAAACGACTACATCAAACACATTACTTAAGTTTAACAGTTTTTAGAGTTTACTAATTATATATCATCGTACCCATGTATTATAGCCTCGGTATACTTTTTTAATTTTAAAAAATTAATTATTATTATAATAGAATATTTAGCCAATATTAAAATATATAAAAGCAATCAGACAAAAAATATAACATTAAGTAAAAAATACTGAGAATAGAATACAATAAATTGAAAATTATAAAACTTTATAAATTATATGCATCGAAAGCGGTTTTCTGAATTTACCTTCATCAGAAAAACTCTATGCCAAAAGTGTTAAATCCAAAAATGGATAAGTACCAAAACACGTATAGAGGTATCTGTCCAAACGAGTTCTCAAATGATAGCCAAAAAAAGTATAACAAAATACCGAACTACGATGTTAACAACGATTCGAGATAACAAAATAATTGTAGCAAAAAAAAAAAAAAAGAGAAAGTGAACATGTTAACGCGAAAAACAACGTGTGTCTGATCAAAACCCCCATGTCCCTATGTAAACTGATCTCAAAAATCACAACATACAATGAATAGATTAAGTAATTTATCATGTTATAATTAAACACATGTCTGATCCGAACAAAATGATCAGTTCAATACTGTTAAAACACATAGCATTGTTTTATTCTTATTATTCAAGCTATTCAGGGAAAAAAACATTATTACATTTGAAGATTTGGTGACTCCATTTTTGAAGGCATCAAATTAAGTTTAGTGACGGAACATAGTGCTGCAAACATCAAACAAAAAAGGTGTCCAAAAATCTTAAAATACGGTACTGTTCTCTCCATTCTAATTCAACTTAAAGAAAGCTAATCACATTCATACATTCTAAAATAAGCCACATGACGTCTACGATAACATGCACAATTTTAGATAATCAATTGTGAAAATGATGCCCTGAAACATATGGCGGTATCTTAAAAAAATGAACTATACAAATAAGGTTGCATTATGATTTTGTGATTAATATTGCAATGCTTAATACGATACTTATATTGTGTCTGTTAAATAAACAGATTATGAAGTGATCTTATTCGGAGTTAGGTTTACTGACCTTGTTTATTTCTTCAATCTTTAGTTGATACAAACTGTCCAAACCCACGATTGTTAAACCGGAAACATGACGTGTTGTGCGTCGAGAAATTATTTATTCATAAAGCAGAACAATATCGTTTAACGTTCCTACAGTATATTCAATATTTAGTTTTTTTTTCTTTTCCATAAAAACTGACATAACCAAAGTCAACTATATCAACTAACGGAACGACTGGAAACAATTGTCATATTCTTAACTTGATCAAAATAAGCAGATACGAATTCTTTTTTTCTCTTTTTCATTAGATGACCAGAACGAAGAAGCAATAATGAAAATGAAAGCTAAAATAAATTTCTATACTATAAAAGTTGGTCGGCACAAAAATGTCTTGCAGTTCATTGGTAGTGTGGAGGATGAAGTTCGTAAGTGGAAAGTTAATTTTACAAAACAAGGAAAACGATATAAGGTGCTCTTGCTGTATATGATATTACTTAATACCTTTACGGTCAGATACTTTTCAAACCAGTTCGCACTGGAAAAGATGAAAAAGAGAAAAGATCTTTTCTTAAACTTTCCTTTGCCAACAAAGGTCTCGATGGCGTCAATTTAGGCAATATCCTTCATCAAAAATTAGCTCAGTCGAAAATACCTCCTTATTCTAAAGATCAGTCTGTACCAATAACTTCTTATACCTATACCAAACCAATTGCAACTAAAATTTTCAATTACAAACACGTTTTGCAGGATCTCAACATTGACGACTTCAAGTCTAAACCTCCTGATTGCACCTGTGCTAGTTCCCAATTCACATATAATCCGGCTGGCCACGTTATTACCGGAGACCTCAACATTGTCAAGAACACTTCCATGCGAAATTTGTTATCCAAAGGTCCGAAATATCGTGAGCCTAAATCCATTAATTGGAAATACAACTTCAAAATACTTATGGATTCAGTCGAGGATTATGCCAGGCAATGGGCTAAACGCGAGAAATAAGACGTTGATCCTCTTTCCGAATGGATTAAGGTCGTGAGGTCGTTGATACAAATCCGAATTAAGAAATTAAATGGGTCTATCAATACCAACGCTACGTCAATTTTTAAAGACCCAAATGTTGCAAAACACTTGTCCAACCTCTGTGACAAATATGTTGTTGTCCCCGCAGATAAAGCCCCAAACAACATCGTTTTTGTGTGTAAATATCATTACATAAACTGCTTGATAGACTTTTATTTGATCACTCTGACACAATACATACGTGTAACAAGAGGTATACAATATTTACATATATACAAACAATACAAAAAAAAAATGGTGGGTATAACAAAGGAAAAAACATAAAAAATACATTTTTAAACAATCATTTTACAAAGTGTTCTTAAGTTTACTAATAAAAAGTGTTAGATTTTTTATCTATTTTTTTAAATGAATTAGGTATTGACAATTCATTTGGAAACTCAACATATACCGTCACGACACTTACCAAAGAGAAAATCCTGGATAATCATAGGTCTGTTCTATGTTCCTTTGGAATTTCAACCAAAGATGAAGAACTGGCTCTTCCATCACTGTATTGGATACTTAAACTACATAAGTGTCCTTACAAATAACGGTATATTGCTGGGTCTTCCAAGTGCTCCACGTCACCTCTTTCTAAATTATTACTATCTATTTTATCAGCAATCAAAGCCGGACTCCAAAGTTATTGTGAAACTGCCTATTCTAGAGGTGGCGTGAATCAGATGTGGATACTAAAAAATTCCAAAGATCTTCTAGAGTACATACAATCTAAGACTCTCTCATCTTGCAATAGTATTAAAACATTTGACTTTTCTACACTTTACACAAGTATTTCCCATTCCAAACTAAAAGACAAATTGAAAGAGTTAGTATAACTTTGTTTCATTAAAAAGAATAGCGAACGTATACAAGTATCTTGTCTTGGGGAGGGATAAATCCTACTTTAAAAAAATCACTCTGATTTAAACACAAAAATCGCTGAAACTGACATTATCAAGATGCTTGATTTTTTTGATTGACAACATATTTGTTACGTTTGGAGGACGTGTTTGTCAACCGACTGTCGGAATTCCAATGGGAACCAATTGTGCCCCTCTTCTTGCCGACTTGTTTCTTTATCATTATGGGGCTGACTTCATACAGGAACTTCTTAGGAAGAAAGATAAAAAGTTAGCAATTTCATTTAACTTTACGTTTCGCTATATAGATGATGTTCACTCACTAAATAATACAAAATTTGGTGACTATGTTGTACGAATCTATCCCATCGAACTAGAGATAAATGATACTACAGATACAGTTAAGTCTGCCTCATATCTTGACTTACATCTAGAAATTGACAATGCGGGTCGGTTGAAAACAAAACTTTACGACAAAAGAGATGATTTCAGCTTCCCAATTGTGAACTTTCCATTTCTATGTAGCAACATTCCAGCAGCGCCTGCATACGGAGTATATATCTCCCAATTGATACGATATTCCCGGGCTTGTATTTCCTATCATGATTTCCTTGATAGAGGATTGCTGCTTACAAGGAAGCTATTAAACCAAGAGTTCCAAATGGTGAAGTTGAAATCATCCCTTCGTAAATTTTATGGACGCCATCACGAGTTGGTTGACCGTTATGGAATAACTGTTTCACAGATGATATCGGATATGTTCCTTATGTCGTAACTACAATACCCTTCCATTTTCACGAATGTGACCTACCGAATTAGACTATTTACCGGATTTGTACTAACTTAAGCATCACGACGGGTGCCACATGTGGAGCAGGATCTGCTTACCCTTCCAGAGCACCAGAGATCACCCCCAGTTTTTGGTGGGGTTCGTGTTGCTTAGTCTTTAGTTTTCTATGTTGTGTCATCTGTACTATCATTTGTCTGTTTGTCTCTTTATTTTTGGCCATGGCGTTGTTAGTTTGTTTTCGATCTATGAGTTTGACTGTCCCTCTGGTATCTTTCGTCCCTCTTTTACGTATATTTAACTACTTGAGTCATTTGTAGACCATGAAGACTGACCATTACGCAGAACCTAAGTTTATTCCAGTGCTCTTGTTGTTCAGTGTTTAGTTTTCTGTGTAGCTTTTTTTCACAGTTATTTATATATTTTTGTCACTTTTTTATATCATGGTATTATCTGTATGTTTTTTTTACTATTAACTGGGTTTTTTTTGTTAGTATCCTTTGTCACGGTTTAAAAAAAAGTAACCCTTTTCCATATTTTAAGTATTTATTTGATAACATCTACATCTATGAACCTTGTATTTTACCCCTATATTATTAAAAGGGAATTTCAGCAATGCGTTAAAAAGATATTCAACCCTTACGAGACAACTGTCCACCAGAGTTCAAATAAAGTAGATGTAAGCAAGTATATGTCACCGTACGGTTTCCATTAATTTAAACAAAATTAACAAGTGATCTACCAGTTACACCATATTTATTAGCGAACATACACGCGACTTGTGATTAAGTAAATACAATCGCTTCAAAATGTCTGACATTAGATGTGACGAATTAACGTAATATGTGTTTAGTACAGAACTCCCTTTTGATCTCAATCAAAGGACATAGAAGAGGCACAATGCCCACATATGTATATTTTAACATGTATAATATGTATAACTCGATATCTTCTCGAGAAGCAAAATAAACACCAGTCAAACAAAAGCATTTTACTATGGCCATATACGGTCCTTAAAAAATACGAATTCAATGAATTGTTTTCGGGTTTAAAATAGGTCTATTCTTGTATGTTCATAAATCTATTTAATGTAATTATTGTTTGATGACTGAAAATGTCCGAAGTTACCTTCATCAGGAACGTTCAAACACACACATATGAAAAGCAGGAATGTATACGTGGTAACATGAACAATAAAACAGCAAATATATTTATATGTAGGTGGGCCAATGATGATACTGGAGTACTGTTCGAAAGGAGTTCTCAAGCAATTTCTAGAGGCTATAAAGTCAAACATATCCGTTGACATAGACGAAAGACTTTACAGAATTGTATTTGGGATATGCCTTGGAATGGACTTTCTGGCTTCAAAGAAGGTAAATCTTGATAATTTTCATATACGTTTGAAATTTATTCGAAAACAGATCTCATAAGCATGTCCGTTCGATATGTCTGACTCTAGTTGCTTTCTACAACATAAATATACCCAGGTCTTCAACCAGGCCGTCCAATAAAAAAGCCATTAAAGATACCAGGCAATTTTGTACGCCATTCGCATGTTTAGTCACATAATTCTCATTAGTGATGCTCCAATCAAAAACAATTGAAAGGTTAAATCAAATACGGAGTTTAAGAGCGTTGAAAACCAAAAATTCCAAAAAGCTGTGCCAAATAGTGCTAAAGCAATCTGTACAATATAAAATTGTTGTCGCAACTTTTTTTTCTCAAGAATTGCAATAATACAGATTACTGAAAGTTGGTTTCAAGCTTCATCTGCTTTCAGATTCATTACTCCTCAACTTTCTGTTAAGAGAAAACTTATAGCGGTTGTATCATTTGTGTGCAATAGCGTACAGTTCAACTTGTTTTTGTTTCTAATTTTCTAAATGAATTAACTACATTATTGATTTTTTCCCCAGATAAACTCAGTGTAGTTTATACATAGAAATACTGATAATATGTTTTTCAACGAGCGTCTTAACGAACATAATCCATAATAATTGGTTTCACTTGGTTAAATAAAGAAAACAATAGTGAACACATGTTCGATTATCCATTGCAAATGCATTTAATCAATAAAGTCTTGATGATTCATATATGCTAATAAAGTATAAATTCCTGGTTTGTAGAGATAACTGTTATTTTAAACTAAAACACTATATTCTAACATTGTATTACACCCTTAGGTTGTTCACAGACGTTTGGCTGCACGTAATATATTACTGAATGGAATGTACGAACCAAAGATCACAGGTTTCGGTCCAGATTATATTTCTGACGAAGGAGATGACAAATCTGTAGGTATTTAAATGCAAATACGGTATCCATTTAGAATCTGCAGTTCCTCCTAACACCTGTTTTGTATTAATGGAAACTTTCTCAGATTTCTAGACATGAAGTATCATTGGGCACCTTCTATTTTGTTGTTATAATGTATTAAATCATGAGTTTTCTCGAGGAAATCATAGACTTTTTGCCATTGATTTTTATTCAGGTCGAGGATAATCATTATGCAAGCTTTGTTGACATTACCTGTTTTAAACAAAATAAAACTAGTAAATACCAAAGTCGTATGTCTATTCATCCTGTTTAACATTTTCTAGAAATATTTCATGTCCTTCTTGATATTTCATTAATACACACGTATTTTTAAATAGTAATTGGTCTATAACACCTCTGTTGAAAAAAGACCTAAGTTTGAGACCGAATGAACTCCGAATCGGCAACATAATGATATCACGCACAAGAAAATAGCACTTTTTGAAAGTTCCATTGATAGGATTAAACTATCTTTGTATTTCTTAAGTATCAAAAATGATGAAGAAACCATAGTTACTTTGCCTATAACGAGTGCTTGTCAAACCCAACAGCATAACAGTTGATCAAACGCACATTTTGTTTTTCCAGATACAAGAGTACTGAAGATAAAGATAAACTGGGCTGATTTGTCGCGATATTTATATATTTATTTCACGACCTCTGTGAAACACTCATACTTTGTATGAAAGTGACATCTAACATCCACGCATTCCAACATCCAACCGAATTCAGATAGCAAAAAAATCTTATTCGGAAGACTCCGAATACATACTATTAGTATTTTATTGTTATTATATAACAAAATAATGACTTTGTATATGCTTCTGCAAATTTACAGATCTAACATTGTTGGGTTGGTATACGAATTATGTATACAGAATGTGTTTTCAGCCTTGTATCACCATCACTGTTTATCCGATGGATAAAATCTGTCGTAGAGTTGTCACTGGTTCAGACGTACTATAATATAATTATTTCTGTGACTGCATCCTACATTAATTTGTAAGATCCTCTACGATAGATAATTCAGCTGATCTGTAATGTTGAATCTTCGTGCCTTATATACCATGCATGTACTGTATTACGACGCTAGATAAAAACTGACGAGGAAAGGTAACAGCCGGCCACCGAAAGCTTGATTTTGTCGAGCCTAGGTGGTCGAGCGGTCTAGCGCGTCGGGCATAGTGCAAGGCAATTTGATGCAACGATATCTCAGTAGCATGAGTTCGAATCCCGGCGTCAGCAGGGTTTAAGAACATCTGTTGTTCGATCTGTTAGTCAAATGCGTTCTGTTAAAAAAGAGGGACGAAAGATACCAGAGGGACAGTCAAACTCATAGATCGAAAACAAACTGACAACGCCATGGCCAAAAATAAAAAGACAAACAGACAAATATACTTTTTCAGTTTTTGGTCTTTTGGAAAATGTTGTATGTGCTGTATTTAGACCCCTCTACCAAGAAATTTGTTATACATGCACACGTAAAAAAATTGCAGTTTTAATCCGACGCAATCATTGGTTTGAACGTTGTCTTCAATTAAGACTTTTTTTATATTTTTTCGTTTGGGCTTGTATTATATTTTCCTTCGGGTTTATATGATCCGTTCATCCTATTTCGACTCTTTAAAATTCAAGAGTTTATCCTAAACTGAGATAAATTATATGGCCTTCCAAATACCGTTTCGATCCCTAACATCACTGAAGAGTATTCATTGTCGAAATACGGATATGGTGCACAAATTTTTGCACCTCATGTTTGTGGTATATCATCTTTCCCGCAAGTTTATTGTTTTCTGTTTGGTATTGAATTAATATTAAGATCCATTTTGTTACATCTGGTATTCAATCTATCTGACAATTGCCATTGGCAGTCAGAAGGGTTTAAAAACATTTGTTAGTCAAATGCGTTTTGTTAAAATATACTTTTTGACTTTTTTGGTCTTTTGGAAAATGTTGTATGTGCTGAATATATATATATATATATATAACAGTACGTCTAAATAAGTGACAACTCTACAGCCCGGCGAGGGAAGAACAAAAATTTGCTTCTGCAAATTGCAGATTTAACATTGTTGTGCTGGTATTTAGAGTAATTATATACATATAGTAATTGCATCTACTTTGGAGGTATTCTGCAGTCACATTACAGACTGCTATGAAACATTCATAATTTCAATGTGTCGCTATTGTGTATACAGTTCAATTCAAGTTCTATTTCAGTGTTTACATTACTACTTAAATAAATTAAATTTTAGGAAAGAGAAAGGATTCCTATCAAATGGTTGGCACCAGAATGTATGAATTCAACAAAACATGCCAATGAGCTGAGTGACGTTTGGTCTTTTGGGATTGTCATGTGGGAAATATTCTCACTTGGTAAGATTATAATCGAAGATGAGTTCTGTGCGCTCAATGCACAATGTTTGACAAAAATACAAAAAGATAAATGATCATTTGAGTTATCAAAGAAAACTAGCGAGTTCCAAGACCAGACGAGTATTTAAACATTTCAATTATATTACAGTAGTTTTAAAAAATGAGTATCAAGAAGAATATAAATACAGAATTCATATACAAAAAAGGCAGCATAAGTAAATACTGTACAATTTGAAAAGAAAAAAAAATAGATTCCACAACACAACATGCTACAATATCAGTTTAAGCATATACTGTATTAAAAAGTTATCGGGTATTACTTTCAAAAGTGCGAACGGCCACTAATCTTGTTGTTCAAAGGAAGTGTAGGAAATTTGCCTTGTTGAAAATTGCCATACTATGCAACAATTTGGTATGATATTTGAATGAATGTATTCTTGTTGTATTACAAAATCTACAGATTGACTTAAGTTTGCATAACGTCCAATGGCAAACGTTGCAATCATACTTATAACGAGACCAAATGAATAATTAGTGCAATTGTTAGTCTCTGCACAGTTGACCAACCGTGATTAAAGACGGACAATCTGAATTTCTACTTGGACAAGAGGGTTTATCAAATAGGGGTTGAAGCATATGAATACCAATAATAATATCTAGAAATAGTTGAATAGCTATTGTAATTTTCATTATTATTATATTATGAATAATAATCAGGTGAAACACCGTATCCCGGATTACAGAGCAGAGAAGTCCCTGGAAAAATCAAACAAGGCTACAAGATGAAGAAACCTGAACGCTGTGATGATGCGTATGTATAAATAAATACATTAATTCATGAAACCATAAATTCTTCAGATGTTGATTAAAAGTATTATAAAAGATGATAAATTGATACTCTTGTTAACATTACCAATGTCATTATTCGATATCAGGATATATTTAACACATATTTCATGTACAGTATATATATACACATCGTTTACTTTCTAAACTGCATAAAGATTATTGTCTCAAGTACGTTGCTCCAAATTTTAAAAATTAACTACTTATTCAAATTATACTCAAACGAAACTATTATACGTATTTGGCATTGAAGCAATTAAGCAATGACAATGTATACACGGTTATATGTGTCGTGTTCAGTGAGAAACGAAGCCGCCGCCGTCCAGAGCTAAAATTTTGAGAGCTTATCTTCGCCTATGCAAATAAGGGGTAACTTTTCGAACGACAAATATGCATATTACAATTTCGGTATGTACATTGATATTTTCAACAAAGCAAAATGTTCTATAGTTCTATAGTGTACATGCGAATGAAACATAATTGCCGCAAATATATTAATATAGGAACATCATTATTTATGTTCATATCAAGTGTAATGTTTGGAATTACTCTATTAAGAAAAGTTTTGAGTCTAAAATTTCTAAATTTTAAAACCATTTGGTCAACACATAATTTTTCTATAACTTAAATTTCAATGGATTTGTTCAAAGAATTACTACATTAAACTACTTCAATTTTGTATCATAATTATTACTTTTCTTATGTCTATATCGGCATTTACAAAAGTTAGTTAACTACAAATATTCTTACAGAATAAAATCAAACTTTGCAGAATGTCTTTATGTCAGACTAAGCTCTACACTTTTTATATTAATTTTAGCATATTGATTCCTGGGTGTTTCCATTAGTAAACTATAAACGTAGCTATATCTGCAGATAAAATAGAAGTGTAGTTAATGCATAATCCAGACTTTTGAGTGTTAATGTTACCAAGAGTATCAAAACTACTAGGTTCTTAATGCAAATCTGGAACTGTTTATATACCTTTTGATAATACTTAAAAATAGAAAACACTTTTTTTGCCAAAATATATGAAGTTCGCTATCGAAAAATTTCCGCTTCAGACGCATAAATTTATAATGTATTGTTTTCATTTTTTCTACAGTTAATAAAAATGGATTGATTAGAATAAAACAGAACATGACATCATTACTTAAAAAGATGTGATGTTTGGTGAAGATCGAGTCCTTTTGATACGATATGTATATGTCTCAACTCACGAGCAGCATGATTTCCCACTTTAAGATCTTTAATTACCAGAATAATCGTCTTATTTGTTTACCGATTGTGGACTCGCATGGCGAATGATGCATGCATTGTAGGCGCCGCTTACCCTGTGGACGCTACCGGTCTCACTCCTTACGATTCTCTCAGGTTTTTGTTTGTTCCCATAATTGTCTTTTTAATCGATTTTTGAAATTTGAACATCAGTAAACGATTTACTGGTTTTGTGACGTAAATGTGAGACACACCTAATTTTTTTTCCATGAATTATCATTATAACCATAAACAATAAGAACGTTTTATCAAGCATTTGATCATATCTTGAAATCTTGTGAATATTCTGTTTTTCTATAATCGTCTTTTCTAGGCCTAATGAACATAATACGTACATGTATGCCTGTACATCTTCATCATGGTATCAATATTGACGTTTAAATTTTGAAAGCAAATATCCCTACTCTCAGGTAAAGCAAGCATATTAATTGAACTTGTCATCATTGCATTGTAGGAGCCGCTTACCCTGTGGATAATTCCGGTCTCACTCCTTGTGGAGTTCATGCAACTCTCTCGGGTTTTTGTTTGATCCTATAACTGTCTTTTTAATCGATTTATGAGATTTGAACATCAGTAAACAATTTACTGGTTTTGTGACGAAAAAGTGAGACACACCTAAAGCAATCATTCATTTTATCACACTTAGAATATCTTTGATTAAACATATATATATATTTTAGATTTTATAAAGTAATGCTGAAATGTTGGCAGTATGATCCTCGGAACCGTTCAGGTTTTGAACAACTTAAGGACCAAATGAATAACATGTTCACTGAGGCCCCTGGAGATGAATATTACTACAGAACAAATGATCTTTAACAACGTCTCAAATTAGATGATGTCAAGGACACTACCGAAATCAGTCATTTATATTTCAAATTATATAACTTAACATTGTGCAGGAAACTTATATAACTTTTTTCTTCTCTATGTTATTGTAATTTATTAGAAGTAGTAGCTTAGTTCTTTAATGTGCATTGTATTGTAAAGGTAAAAGAGTGTATGTGTTACATCTTTTCGAGTTTCAATGCATAATCATTTAGCGTGGTTGTTTAATTTGCGCATTCAACTGAGGCCATTTTTCAAATGAATATGATTTGCTTTCTACAAACTATTCACGCTGGGTTGTGATCGCAAAATAAGCAAAAAAAAAGCTAAAAAATTTATATTTGTTCAGTATATTCACCAAAGAACGCAAATAACATTGATTGCAGAGCAATAAGAAAGCTTTTATGCAAACATACATTGAAAGAACTATTCGAGAATGTTGTTTTTTACCATTTGTTGGAAAAACAAATTTAATTATTCTGTGTAAAATTTTTAAATTTTCTACAAGAAATCCAATACTTTTTAAATGTTTAGTAAATCAATGTAGACAAGTATATTTGCCCACTGATTTAAACAACCTTACGTTTTTCACTATCATTATATTGTATTTACTTGCATGCGTCTTTTGTATTGTTGAATACGACCACTTCAAATAGTATGGTTAATGCACATCGTTTATCTATGTTTATTTACAAATAATAACTCATGTATTTAAACAATAAAATTGACAACAAATTTCAAATTGTGGTTTGTAAGATTTCATGTCTATATTTCAATGTAATACTTAATATAGAAACTATCACGATGATTGATTAAATACGTGTGTTTGGATGCGCCAAAATTATACCTGCTACAATATGCAATATCAATTATACCCTAAAATGCTGTATTGCATCCGCATTGTTTGATCGTTTTTTCATATGTTGTTCCTTTCATTCATTCTTCAAAACAAATATTTCTATACACTTTTCTTACTTTCTTCTGAACAGAATTTGTTTTATACTCACCAGCTAGATAATGATGAGTTGTAACTTGGAGCATTATTTGGACCTTTCAGACAACTTATTCCTGTTTATTGATACTTTGAATACGAGTGGGGGCATGCATAGCACGCAGACTCTTCGTGTTTGGTACAAAATTTATTAGATACGTATTAATCATGTTTTAAAGCACTAAGTATTAGATAAATGTTTCCGTTTGTAACTTTTTTTTTATTTAAACTATTCGAATGGTTGTTTCAACGACCGATAGTTAAAAGCACTGAATCACATGAGCTTGCCTGATTCAGAGAGTTTATTACTCGCGTAAAACACGTAACATAGACGACCGGATAAGCCCCATAAGCCTACTTTACTTCAGTATCATATCTATCTGACATACATATATGGAATATCAAATGGTATTTCAGTAAAGATTGTTTTAATGTGAAACGGGAGATAATTTATTTTGAACCATGTTCTTTTTCTTCATTCGTCATAACTCGGCCGATTCCGTACCTCCATCTGGAGAGAAGCGGAGTCACCCGAGGTTAGCCGATTGCCACCTCTTAATTCTTAAAAAAGATTACGTTAAAAAGTAAAGGTGATTCTACGAACTCTCTATATGAATATTTTTCTCAAAATGTAAGTTATTATATCTATTTGCAAATCTTTAGTTGAATACATCTTTGATTTCAAATTATGGATCGTCTGTTTTAATATGAAAAAAAAAAACATTTACAAATTGTTTTACAAAGTCGGGGTTATTTGAACATGACATCTATGCTCAGCATTGTAATAGGTAATGAACACAATTATTCTAAACTCATTTGTTGGCATGATACGGGTTATGTTCTTCTCGTATATTTTATGATGATATTATACTAAACCCCTAACGGGAGGGATTGTGCTTGATTTTCATATGAGGAAGACATAATCTTTCAATCAATTTAATTGACGTCTGGAGGGCATGTCAGTAACTGCTATTTGTCCTTTGATAATTTATGTTGATCATTGTCATTTTGCTTAGTTTCTTCTGTTACCTATTCTAACATCGGACTCGGACTTCTTTTAAACTGAGTTTTACTGTGCGAATTGCTGTGTGTTTGTTTATTCTACATTGGCTAGAGGTATGGGTTGGGATCTCACAAAACATGTTTAACCCCGCCGCATTTTTGCGCCCGTCCCTAGTCAGGAACCTTTTGCCTTTATTAGTCTTGTATGATTTTTTAAAATTTTGGTTGATTTATATGTTTCGGAGTTTAGTTGTGACGTCTATTTTCTCTGAACAAGTATACATTTTTGTTTAGGGGCCAGTTAAAGCCCGCCTCCGGGTCCGGGATTTTCTCGCTGTGTTGAAGACCCAGTGGCGGCCTTGAGCTGTTTTCTGCTCTATGGTCGAGTTGTTGTATTTTTGACACATTCCCCGTTTCCATTCTCAATTTTATTTCATCATCGATTTAACGTTGCTGTATGACATGTATGGATAAAATCTTTACCGATGCACATCCACCAATATTAAAATGTAGGGCATCATGATTTCAAAGCACCGGGTTGAGTATTTTGAGTTTGATGTCAGTATTTTTTATTATTGTTTGCTTGTACACGTTTTTATCACTGGAAACAGTTTTATTTATTATATTATTTTTGATTTGACCTTCCTTAACTCCGTCCGTCCATTTTCTTATGTTTTCCAGAGGATACTTTGACTTTCCCTTGGTTAAGTTAAACACATGTATACAAATGAAAAACATTGGAAAGGGGAAAAAACATATTGATTTAAGGATCCTTATATCAAAGTTCAAGGTCACTGTTAATAAAAAATATACATATGTTGGAGAAAAATGTTTGCCGGGTCGTTAATAAGAAATTAAACTGAGATAAGGCCAGGG